CCGGGGGAGGGCTGGCCCTGTCTCCGCCCCCCATGGTAGCCCTTCATGGTGTCAGCACCCGCCCCATAGCCTCGGCATCCTGCAGGGTTGCCCCTGCGGGCTCATCTGTGGGGACAGGGACAGGCACAGCATCATGCTCCATGCTGCACCCCACTGCCAGCAAAACGTTGGGGCTGTCCCGTGGGAACCGACTGAGGGGGCTGGGAGGCTCCCAGGGCAGGATCTGGCCCCCAGCTGAGCCCCTGTGAAGCCAGGCTGGAATGCCAGAAACCTGGCTCCCCATGGGGTGAGGGGGGCACGGGGCCGGGGCCGGGCACCCAGGGTCACCCCCGGCTCGGCTGCTTGAAGGGGGCAGTGCTAAGGGGAGAGCAGGAAGGAGAAGACACTGCCGGCAGCGATGCAGGCAGTGCGGGGCCCGCAGGCGGTGAGGGAGGACACGCTGCCATCATCAGAAACTTGTTTTCTTCTCTGACACCAAATATTATGAAGTGTTTCTCCATTAGGAAAACGGTTCTGGCTGAGTTTTTCAGCCGTTGCGATTCACAGAGCTGTTAATGAGCTGCCGTGGGACGCGGCGGGGCTGCGCCCTGATGTCTCCACCCAGCCTGTCCTCCCCGCACGGCCCCAGCCGTGGCACCTGACTGCGGATGGAGACCCACAACTGGCCACCCTGCTGGCCCCCACGGCCCTGCCAGCCCCCACGGATGGGGAGCCAGGGAGCGGAGATGGCTATGCTGCGTGTGGGGCATCCCCACGCAGAAGCAGGAGGACGGATGGCGCTGAGCCCCGCACCGGCCGCTGGGATGCTGGAGCTGCATGGAGGTTTGTCTTCCTTACGGTCCCTCAAAGGCTTTGCCTTTGGTATGACTGTAAATGAGGAAATTACTTATTCTCCAGTGTAGCTCAGCCAACTTACAGGATTCATTAATGGTCTTGTTATCATATTTGGGCAGGGTGCTGTAGGCAGCCTGTCTCCGAGACCGATTGTGGGACAGTCCCTGCGGCACATGGGGTCCATTAGACACGTGGGGATTGGAAATGAGGGACACCGGGAGGGCCGGGGATGCGTGGGGAGGGAGGGGCCGTGTGCCCCAAGGAGCCCCAGGAGGGGAGAGGGGCTGGAGGCCCCGGAGGGGCACAGGGGTGGGCAGCAACGTGCGCGTTGGCGGCGAGCGGCAGACAGGGCCACGGCAGCGCCCAGGGAACGCGTCTGCCCTAATAAGCCTCCGCCGCTGCCTTCCTTCCCGGCTTCAAGGCTGGATGGCTCGGTCCTGCGCCCCTCCCCCCGCCCTCACAATTGTGCTCCTGCTCTAACGAGGCTCCCTAATTGCTGCATCTTAACCGAAGGATGCTGCAGCCTGTTGCAAAAAGAAATGCCTCTCCCCTCCCGGGAGAGCTGCTATGAGGAGCGGGCACAAGCAGTGTGGGAGGGGGCTGCCTCCCCTGCCCTGGGATCAAGCCGGCAATCTGCAGCAGGATGGACGGACAAACAGATGGGCTCCCAGCCCCGGCTCTGCCTCCACAGGCTGAGCTATCATCTCCTGCTCGGGGAGGGAAGCTCTCAGCTGATCCAAATATTGCTGCTGCGGCGGGAAGAAGGAGTCAAAATAGCTGAGCAGCCCGTCACCACCAGCCCGGCGGGCTTTTGTGCTCGGCAGGCGCAGGAATTAAACAAAGCTGGGCCCCGCCACCGCACCGGCGAGGCAGCGCCGCAGCTCTCCCGCAGCCGCAGGCAGTGACGGAGCAGGGGCAATGTCAGAGAATGGGGACATGCCATGGTGAAGGATAGAATCATAGAATCATAGGATGCTACGTCCCGGCCAGTACCAGCTCACCAAAGCCACGCAGGTGCCTGCACCCTGGCCGGGAACCAGCCGGTCCCCCCACGGGCACCCTGGGCATGAGGAAGGGGTCGGGAGCTAGCCTGTGGGTCTCAGCACAGGCACCGCGGCCCAGGGTCCCCATCTCCATGTCCTGGCAGGGACGGCCACATGCAGAGGGCAGGAGAAGCCGCCGCTCCCGCTCCTCTCCCCTGTCCAGGGTGGGCAGCGCAGGCAGGAGGCTGCCACACAGGGCAGGGGGAGCCGTCCGGAGCACGGCTCATGGCCATGGCCGAGAGCTGCGTCCCGCTGAATGCCGCTCGCGCTGCACAGCCCTCGGGAAGGAGGGGATTTGCACCACCGAACTGCAGAATCAAAAAGGGGGGGAAAAACCCAGCCCGGCTGAATTTTGTGCCATTTAACACCAAGGTAATTACCACCAGTGGGAACCTACCGCCCACACAATTATGTGCTAGGATAAACTGGAAGAGCATAATTACCATTACAAATAACTCACTTCTTGCCTTTATTGCATCCAAAGCCTGGAGAAACTCCCACCAGCGATTTCCCCACCGCCACCTTCCCTCTGACTACCCTCTGCTACCACCGTGTCTCTACCCGCTGTGAGGGTCAGCACGGGGAGGAGAGGGGCCCATAGCCCCTGACACTGCGGGCCATGCCGAAATTCAGCCCCCCCAACTTAATTTCCCATAGGGGCACTTGGCAGAGGCAGTTCTGCTTCCCAGCAAACCGCCCTGGCACAGGGCAAAGCTGGGCTTTCCAAGATTTCCAGGTCAAACCCTGAGACCTGGGGTCGACGGTCCCGTGCCCGGGGGGTCCCAGCCCCCCCGCCCTTCCCAAGCAGCCCCCGCCACGGGCAGCACGTGCTGGGGTCCCAGCGAAGCCCGTCGGTGGCACTTACCGCCCGGCGCTCAGGGGGATGCTGTCCTCATGGCCCCGGCCACCCGGGGCAGCAGGCTCTGGGGGGAGTGACACGAGGGGGATGAAGCCCAGGGAGGAAGAGCAAA